ATCAATATTAAAAAAAAAAAAAAAAAAAAAAAAAAAAAAAAAAAAAAAGTAATATGGACGAGACGCACAATGTGGTTTAATGTCTCGAGCCTTCATGTGTGTACCTACCTAAAAAGTGCGCCGGATTCGGAAACGGCGAGATTTTTTTTCTCGATTTTGGTCAGTTTGCATTGCTGGCCAAAACGCCATGAAACGAGGGCGGATTGCTATGGCATCACGAAGGAAAAGACGCAGGGAACATCGAACAAGCTTCGTGTTACGGCAACCGCAATGCAACGATTGATTGATTGAAAGACGTATTTATCTATTTAACGGCCAAAGAAGTGGGCACCACATGCGCCCTGCTGAGCACACTACGGTGTCGGGCTACCTCCGCGAAAGGCCTCGACGGCTGTAATTAAGTTGTTCTTATCAGAGCAGGCTGCTCATTCTGTGCCTTGGAAACTCGGGAGATGAAACGAAAGAACGTCCCTAAAATAATGAGCGGCCGGAGGCCCCTGTCAACGTTGAGTCCGTCCACGCCGCGGGTTTTACACACAGAACGCCTTCCACAATAAAGACTACCGAGACAGTCGGTATCTCAGCCGGTGTTCCTCTTATCTCTCCTGTGCGATCTGTTACACGCCTGTCTTTTCCGTTTATTATATGTTTGTTTGTTTTCTGTGCCGTTATGCGCGGGGAAGCGATCGTGTTTCTCATGTCAGCGGTGGACACACGCCATTACTGTATACGTACTAACCGTAGACTGCGTTAAGAACCCTCGACCCCCGCGTTAAGCTGCAATGCGGAAAATGGTGGATACAACTATCCCAACCAAAACAACCAGAAAGAACTCGACATCACGATATGATGGCGCGCTCCGAACGCATGAAGAGCCGGACGGACGGTTTGACACGAATTGAAGAACAGCGTTACAGCACTTCCGCGCAAACACGCTCCCTACGATACAAGGCCATCCGAATGCGTTTACATTTCATACCTCCTTTATCTAATATTTCAATAAAACAAACGCGTACTCCGAGAGACCCTTATCTCTACACATGTGCATAATGGGTCAGGTTAACAGATCAACGACCACGATATTTTCAAACAGAAGCGAGGTCGCTTTGTCCGACAGGAAACAAATATCGCTTACCCGTGCGACTGCTCCTCGTCCATACCGGTGCGGCACACCACTCGGCGTCGAGCTTCACATGCACAAGCGATCGTACTGTCAAACCAGGTCTAGCCAACTTCACAACACGGCGTACTCCGGAGCTCCTTGCGCTCCTTGCCCGCTCCGCGGCTCAGTAGGCGCCATGGCTGCCATGACAGTCGACGGCAGCGCCGCCACACCCACAACTGCCATAACCGGCTTTTGAGATTTTTTTGTTGTTGTTTTCTTTCCCGCCGTGACCAGATGACTGCGCCACTACGCCTCACGGCGGTGGCGGTCTCTGTCAGCGGCGGATTCACACTACAGACAGCAGTGACAGCAGCAGCGGCAGCAGCTAAGGTTGTCACGAACCGGCCGCGGTTCGAGTTCGACCAGGTTCGAAGTTTTCGAACTTTTAGTGCTTTTAGTGGAAAGTTCGACGAACCTTCTATTGATGGATGGATGGATGGATGAATACGGCTGAGCCCTTTGGATCGGGCGGTAGCTTACGCCACCTAGCCATTTTGTTTCGACTCGTGTGCGCATGCGTGGCAGACAGGCCAGTTGGCTTCGGATTGGATGATAATGGCTAAGAGATAAATTAAGTGCAGCGCTGATTGGCTATTTCAGTTAATACAGTACTCAAAATTAAGTTATTAACTTTTTCATTGATTAGAAGTAGTTTCTTTTAATTGCAGCTGTTCACAATATAAAATAACCCTTTGCATAAATTTTTTTTTCTTCCAAACCTAGACATGCTTGTATCAAGCTCTGGCCACACTGTCCACAAAAGTCGAACCGGTCGAATCTGGTGAAAAGTTCGAAGGTTCGTCGAACCGGTTCGACCCAGTCGAACCACGAAAGTTCGACCAAAAAATCTGTTTCGACAAAAGTTCGCGACACCCCTATTAGGGGTGTCGCGAACCGGCCGAGGTTCGAGTTCGACCAGGTTCGACTTTTTCGACCTTTTCGTGGAAATTTCGACGAACCTTGTATTGAGGTTCGACTCGTGTGCGCATGCGCGACAGGCTGGCCAGTTGGCTTCGGATTGGATAGTAACGGCTAAGGGATGAACTAAGGGCACCGCTGATTGGTTATTTCAGTTAATACAGTACAAAAAAATTAAGTTATTAACGTCTTCAATGATTAGAATTGGTTTCTTTTAATTGCAACTGTTCATAAAATAAAATAACCCTTTGCATAAAAATAAATTCTCCAAACCTAGACATGCATGTATCAAGGTCCGGCCACACTGTCCGCAAAGCCGAACCGGTCGAATCTGGTGAAAAGTTTCGAAGGTTCGTCGAACCGGTTCGACCCAGTCGAACCCCGAAAGTTCGACCTAAAAATCCGGTTCGACAAAAGTTCGCGACACCCCTAGTTACTGTACCACTGTCCCCAAAGTCGAACCCAGTGGTGGTCGAACCGGTCGAATCTGGTTAATAGTTCGAAGGTGTCGAACCCCGAAGGTTCGACCTAAAAATCTCGTTCGACCCTTAAAAAAAAAAAAAAAAAAAGAAAAAAAAACGGACGAACACAACAAAATCTTTTGAGATTTTGTTGTGTTCGTCCGTTTTTTTTATCGTTCCCCATCTCAGGGTTTACAAAATGCCTGCACTCTCTCACTGCTTACAAAAAAATATATAAATATATATATATATTTTTTTTGTTGTTGTTGTTATGGCGAGAGGTGTAAGGAAAAACCAGTGGCACCAGACAAAACTGGACCAAATACTTCTTTTCCCTCCCCGCCTCCCCTCCCCCCCCCCCCCCCCCTTCCCAAGAAAAACAAAATTAGAATTTTAACGAGAAAAAAGCGCGAGGTGCACGTAAGCATTTCTTACCGAGTTGTGAATGCGAAAGCATGCAGGCCGCTCGTCCGCTCCCTTTGTCGTCTGCTGCGTACTAGCGCGCTCGCGCGAGCTTCGGGATCTCGGAGGCCATGGCGCAGCGGTCAATGGGAGCCCCGTCGACGCGCGCCAGCCAATAGAACCGAAGGCGATCGCGGAAACTAAGAGCCATTTTCGCGCTTCAAACTGATGACGTCAGCTCGCTCCATGAGGCAGTTAATGCTTTCGCATTAAAAATGCATGTTTCTGTCTACATCCCGGACCTCATCCTAACAGATATTTTTTGCAGACTGGGAACATAGCGTAGACCTAGAACGTAGCGGGGAAGGCTTTTCGGAAATTATCTCAATGAAAATAATCCTTGAAGAATGTTGAATGGCCCACATTGCAGGCTTCTTGATGTTCACTCTCTTTGTTTTCTGCAGAGGCTGTGCAGGCTACGAGCCCTGGAATTCTCTGGTTCTTACAGTGGAAGATAACACAGAAAAGGTAAGCATCCTGAACAAGCAAATAGAGTTTAAAAAATAAACTTCCAGAAAAAGCAGGCGAGCTCCAAAAGCACACTGCAGATAGGGAGCTGCGCTGACTGGGTTTCCACAGCTCGGGTGGGTGGCAGAAATTTCTGGCTCATAAGGTTCGCTCAAGTCACAAAATGGCGGCAGCCAGAGACCTCTTTTTGCAAATTAAGGTCTATAGCAGGGTATCCATATTAACTGGGTCTATATAAATGAGACACGACTGTACAATAGTGTTGCTTTTGAGTAAGGCATAATATGCCGCAAAGGACGTAGCTTTCTATTGTGACACAATGAAAGCAAATAGAACTTGAAACTACTTACTTTCTATGGCTATGCTGGCTATGCAGACAAAGGTACAGAGGGAGTGCGCTTGAGCGCCGAATAAAGCTGTGCCCACGGCATAGGCGTAGACTATGGGGGGGCAACGGGGCTCGTGCCCCCCTGGTGAAATCCGGGTGGGGGGGGCAGAGCCCCCCCCCTGGGCCACGATCGTTACAGAGACGCTGTTTACGTGCCATGCAGCGAGCTTCTAGTAGCAGCATGTAAACAAAATAACGCGCAAGTTGCCTTTATTGACAAAATACATGGGAAATGGAATTCCAACGTGTTTTCGTTAGCTTCAATCTCCAGTTCTGGCAAAAAAATAACGCCCTAGCACCCCCCCCTCCCCCCCCCCCCGGGAAAATGGAAAGTCTATGCCGCTGGCCCACGGTGTATACTACGGTTGATTGAACACTATTTTATCGAAACACGTCCGAGAGAACGGGCACATTTTATCGAAGCTCGCTTTAGAGAAAGCGCAGCCTAAGTTTAGAGGAACGTCGTTCATCCAAAACGGGGCCCCGTTTAGCGAGTTTGTTCGGTAGGCATAAGCAAACCTAGAAGCCGCTAATAGTCTTGTTGGAAATGTCACAGAAAGTTGTCCCAAGTGTGGTCATTTCTGCACAAGCAGCTATCTCGCGATATGCTTGCCAGGGTCGTGCTGGGCCCCAGGAGTTCAGAAGACCGGGAGCCGTCCTGAAATACTGCTATACTTCGTTTCACCTTCAAGTCCGGACACAGCAGACACTAAAAGGAGATTGGACCTATTGAATGCCATCAAAAGTGCAAGCTACTGGTCCCTCCCTGTACACAATTGCTTTAGTTAACATAGAACAGATATAGAAACATGACAAACAACATGTTGGAGCACTTCCGACACTGCAGTTGATTGGTTTCATTAGCTCGTAATGTTGGCTGCCCCTCCGGAAGTCCCGACCAAACTTCTTCACCGAAGTGAATGAGAGTACCCCAGCAGATTTCTTTTCGAAGCACACTCCTCACACCTTGTGGTTGGCAGGAAGGATTACCTGCCAAGGCTACCAGCTCGAACTACCTAAATATTGCACCAAAACTTAAGTTTTTCGTTTCAGCGTGAAGTTTATGTTGTGACACACATTCAAGGCACATAAAAAAAAAAAAAGCTCAGCATTTTCAATTACGAACAAGAGGCATACACTCGTATCAATAAATATTTTATTGGATCCTTTGCGGCACCCATTATTGCAATGACTTTGAAATCCAAGTAAATTCTAGCGTCACTCTCCCTTATGTCAAATGTTTTATCAAATTTTGTCCAAACAGACGATGAAAGGGGACTGAGTGGGTGCAAGGCCTGTCCGTCCCTCCTCCAAACCCACACAGGTCAGTAACTATTTATGCTGTACACAGTTGCATGGTGAAAACTTTGGCATATGTAGGTTCTAGTTCATGGACGACAGAGAACAACATGCCAGCGATCTGACCGCGCCTCCCTGCTCCTTGAGCCTTCTGCCCACCCACTCTCAACCACAAAATGTCACCTAGCCGCTAACTGACGTAATCAACCAATGCAAACGCAACATTCACAAACAAAGGTTGCAAGCTCCCAGACCAATGCAATAAAAAGAAAGGTGTCAGGTGCTCAGCACAAATTGTAAAATATGAAAGTCATGCTGTTCAAGCATTCAGCATTTTTTTTGTTTGTTTGTTCTTATTTCTTCAATGCTCATGACAACACAGTGTAAACTTCATCACTGATTGCCGCTCGCTGGATTGAAGCGAGCAAATCACAATTATTTGAAACCAAAAGCCCAAAGATAAGCCCGTGTCGTCAGCGATTTGTAGGTGAATTGTCGTCTGTATTTGCATCCCACCTGTTCTCTGACCCGACAAGAAAGGATAGGTTATAGTAAATCAAGTGCATAGGCTGTACGAGAAATAAGTATTTCGCATATGCCAATGCCTTCTGAAGAATATTTGCCTGACTAGACAAAAAAAAGAAACATGGCATTTGAAAAACAGAGAAACACTACTAGTTTGAAGATTTCCTATATTTTAAATGTAAAGCCCCAAAATAAATGTGCAGAAGTATGGTTCCTTATAATGTTGAACCTTCACAATATACGATCAGTCTTTGTTCAAAACAATTGGTCATACAGCATACTCCTAGGAAAAAAATATTTCAGGTTGTGGTAGCAACTGTACATGATTTTCTTATTGGCTCACAGGTCTCTATACACGCTCTAGAATATTATGTATATGTACAAAAAAAAAGAAAAAAAAAAGAAGGATCTGGAATGGCTGCATGGAATCCTTGCCTGAAAACAGGTTATGTCCATTTCAACACACAGCGTACAAAAATTTCACCGTGCCGCCTAAATTGTGGGGGGAATCAGCTGCGCAGTAAACTCAAACTTAGAACATGGTTCTGGGTTTCATGAACCAGCAACTTATGGTATATTGAAAACGGCCCCACATATCTTAAAACGAGATGCAAATGACATACCCGCAGAAGCAATGATGAGACAAACACAAGCAACTGATTTTATAACCTAGCCCTGCACATCGTCGCTTTCTTACAATCATAACTTAGACGAGCTTAACTCGCACAATGTGCACCTCAATCCTATGTACACTGCACGACACAGTTAGTGCAAACATGGCACTCAGGCTTAGCACATTTTACCCTTTAGCATTGAAAGACAAATTTCACCTTCTAAATTGGTGCCCCCCCATAAGCTCAATTTGCCACACTACACTCTGTTCCACTTGACATTGTACCGCAGCGGATTCCACAAGCCCCCGGAGCTAATCCACAGCTCCGAGCATGTCACGCCTTCCAGATCGGCACAGTGACGCGTGAAGCGTAAACTCACGTGGCACGCAGGGAGTGCTCCGTCCGCAAAGACGGCTTGCAGCTTCCGTCACGATACATTGCAAGGTGGGGGTACCACTTGGGAGTGAAAATGGGACAAAACTGAGGGTCACACGTTCGTGCTACCTGTGTCGCGCTCCGTACCATATTTTTCGGCACACAAGCCGCAACATACAGATTGCCATCGTACTCGACAAAATACTTGGCAATTAAGCCATAACCGGGATTTGTGCCCCAGGTCCTGCAGAAATTTGCAGGCAGCAGTCTGAAAGCGTCTGCAAGGGGCTTTGCTCTCTCGCAGACCAATCCTCAACCCTAAGGCGATTGGCAAGCATCAATGGCAAGAGATGCACCGTCGCAAAAATTCCAACGTGAACTGGAACATTGGAGAACATATACAACGTCCGTTCAAATCGGAGCTTTCTTGCGGAAAAATATGGTATTAAAATAAACCGCAATTGTACACGTCAAGCGAGGAAACAAGGTGGCAGTCACTTCTTTGTCCTACAACCAAAAAGAATGCAGAAACCCCCCGAAACAAGTCGACAGATAAGCGGCCTCGGCATCCTTCAAGCCGCATGAATTGCGAACCGGCGCGGTAGCCTCGAAAACCGCGGGAAGCCAGATGTTCCGTTGCGGCACCCACGGCAAGCTTGACACTCCCGCGGGTTCAAACTGTCACAAATCGGGACGCGGGGGTGCAGGCACTCGAAACGAACTCCTCTGAGGGCAGGAGAGATCACATGTTCATGCAGGCGACGAGCTGATGGCACAACTGGCTGTACTGGAGGCTGTCCCCCGAGATGCGGCGCATCTTGAGGCCCCTCTCGTCTGGGCGGGGCCCGTCGCACACCTCGAGCTCGATCTGTACCCCCGCCGCGGGGTGCTCGAGAGCAAGGCCCCGTTCAGAGGGCTGCAGCACAAGGGGTAGGCGGGGCGCGTGTGCATCCAGCCTCCGCCGGATGTCCCGCAGCAGGTCCCCGCACGCCACAGGTCCAGCGGCCACCACCAGGCACAGGGACCCACTGGGGCTCTTCTGCAGGGCGCTGCCCTCTGCCGGAGAACGCGGGGACGGGGACGAAAGCCCCCGGGGCCACGCCAGGGCCTCCTCGAGCGTTGCCTGCCACCGCACAGGCGAGTAGGCCAGGTCCAGCGGCAGCAGGGAGGCTGCGTCCGCGTAGGCCGACGAGCACGACGACGGAGAGGTGGAAGAAGACGACGTGAGCACCTCCTTGCCCCGCTCGTCCGTCACGCTGATCTGGGGTGGGAAACCCCAGCAGGCCGGGCCGTAGGCGGGGCTCACCACGATCTCGGGTCGGACTAGGCCAGTTCCGTTCTCCACGGCGTCTTCCCGGATCATGCCCAGGTTGGGGAAGATCGGGGGCGGGCTGTTGCGCAGGGGAGGGGCCACCAGGCTCTGGAGGCGGGGGAAGTCCGGGTAGGGCGGGGGCGACGGGGCTTGGGGCGAGCCCGCCGGCTGCACCCCAGGGGAGCCCGCCTCCAGGGGCGGGGAGTCGGCCGGGTCCAGGCAGAAGCCTACGGGGCTGCCCCGGCGCTGCAGGTGCAGGCGCTGCAGGTGCTGGGAGAGGGCCGCCGCCGGGCTGGTGGGGGCGGTGCCATGGCAGGGGCTGGCCCCGCCCCCCGTGGATCCGCCCCCCGAGCTGCAGCAGGGGCTCTGGTGGATAGGGGAGCCCGCTATGGAGGGCGGCGACGACACCGAGCTAGCCAGCAGGCAGGGCTGCAGGTGCGCCATCTGCTGCACGTGCAGTGAGTGGCGCCGCTGGATCTCCGCATGCAGCTGGGCGTCCATCGTGCCGCCGCAGTGCTTCTGCAGCCGGAGACAATAGAAGCGCCCCAAGGTGAGTGCTCGTGCCACATAAATAAGCCCTAAGGGGTCGTGACATATTTAGCGCAACATTCTCGGAACTGCTTTTGCATTGCTGGCTATGCTAGAATCACCTTGGCAGCCAAAGCGATCAGAAGACTGAGAGAAAGAGATAGGCAAGTCAGAAGGCATGTAAATGAGAATTGGGTGTAGCGTTTGGGCCCCAAGAAGCCTAAAATAAGAAGGAGTTCAAATATATTATTACAATCATGCGGCTCATGGACACCATGATGTGATGACTGCGGAGATTGCAATAGAAATTAATTGGAGGTGTCCGGCCGTTCGATGCAAATGATACACGGGTACTAGAAAATTATACCTTATGGTTACTAATGCTGTAAAAATTTCAAAACCTGGTGTGCATACGAAGTAACCTATGAGCATTTCATACAAAAATTAATCTACCTGTTTAGTTCTCATGTCTCAATCCTTTTAATGCCTCACACTCCGGAAGTCAACACTAAACCCATGTTCACAGATCCAGGCACATAGAATTTTGCTGGTGAAGCCCATCTGGCTTGACTATAGAATGTACATGGCCAATCACTCCCACTGAAAGGCATGCCAGTAGAATGCAGCAATTGAGAAAGTTTGGCACAGCCATATCTTCCAAACAGGAAGAGAATTTGGCCTATGGGGCAATATTTCAGATAATCCCTCCAGCCTTTTTTTTTATTCAAAATGCTTTGAAAGAATAATTTGCTACAAATTTCAAGCCTGCTGCTTTTACCAACTCAAGGACGTTCTGACCTGCAACTGATGGCACTCCTGCTGCAGGGCTTTGATGATGCATTTGCTCTCTGCACCGACAGTTTGATTGTAGATCCTTTCAAGTTGAGTCCGGTGGGGGCTCACTGATGGGCAGCCGTCACTTGCTCTCCTCGGAACTGCACAAAAACGCTGGCTTAGTTCTCGACAGTATGAGCCCACAAGCACAGTCTGCAATGCACTTAGTGCAGATACAACAACGGTTATGTTTCATGTTTTACTTGCACAGGTAACTGTCAAACACCACTGCTTTGCAGTCTAATAGGTTGATGCCCCTCGTAAGCACATTTCAGTAAATGAGCAGCTTGAATACCAGCCGAGTGCGAAAAAAATAGAAGATATCGATGACTGTGTGTGCTAACTGCGTGACGTACGTTCTGATCATTGAACAATCACTGGGAAAACAGTGCAAGTTCCAGTCTAGGAAGTACTGTTGCAGACACTATTAGCACGGCAGCCGCGGCCATTCCGTACGCCAAGCGCCACATAGCAGGCGCAACCCCGAAACACTGCGCGTATCCCACCTACCTTGTGCGGTGGAATTACTCTTCCAGGTTGTGATCCCACTCTCTCCCTGTCGTCTGCTAGGTGCAAAGCAGATGCCGCCATGGCACTTGCCGATGTTTGCTTTACAGGATTTTGCGGGTGCCTCTTTCGATATGGAAATTCCCTTACTCGCGGAAACGGGTCAGCCAAACAACCAACAGAGGGGACATACCGAGCTAAGCATAATCGTTGCCGATGATTGTACAATTATCTCGGTAGATTACTTTTATTGATCGGACAGACGACTGTTTGTGTCTTTCTCTTTTCTCAGAATAGCTGTGCTAATTATGCTTAGCTCGATGTGTCCCCTTCGTTGGATGTTTGACCAACTCGTTTCCACGAGTCAGGGAATCTCCGTATTGAGAGAGGCACCCACAAAAGCCTGTGAGGCGAACATCAGCAAGTGATGTGGCAGCCTCTTCTCTGCCCCTAGCAGGCAACAAGGAGAGAGTGTGATCGGAACCTGGAAGAGCAAGTCCGCCGCACTGGGTAGGCGGAGTAGGCGCGGTGTTTCAGAAAACCTCTGTCATGTGGCGCTGGGGGCACGGAACGGCCATGGCTGCCATGTTATAGCTAATAGTGTCCACAATAGTACTTCAAGTGCTTTCCATTTGTAGCACTTGCAAGCACTACCAACGTTTTGAATACCAACTTCATCTTGGGAGCACGTACATACATCAACATGGTTGGCACAAAAAGGTGCGCAGACAGGTTTTTACAGATCTTTCTCTGCCACTGAAAAGCTCCTATCGACTGGCATAGTGGAATGTGCATATGTGAGGTGTTCGTTGATAAAATTTACTGTTCAATACTACTGTGTAAAATATGAAAAAGTGTTGTTATCTTGTTGGTGCCAGCTCAGCTTCCATACCATACTATTAACGAAATAGGGGAAACAAAGAATCACAATGTGACAAACATTAAATGCTGCTAAAATGAATCCTTAACGGTCAGAGAAAAAAATTTAACAAATGGATCTCGGTGCCAAAAGACGTCAGGTTGCTCTCCAATCTCTACTGCTCTAATGCATATTTGTAATTGATTACTTTTTGTGCCCCAATCATTTTAAGGGTAATCAACTACCTTCTAATCAAAGCAACTGTAACTAAATTACATTCCTAAAGTAGTGCCTAATTTACCCAGGCATGATTCTGATGCAGCATTTTGAAAACCTGCATATCATTTTTCTAGTTTTCTTTTTCTGCACCAGCACCAGTTATTACCTGCCTAGCACACAAAGCAATGTCAAGTGTTAACCACGAAAGGGCAGCTTACAAATTCTGCCAACACTCTACATAAAATCGCAGCTGTCTGTTCCAACCTCACCCTAACGGCTTAGCGCGCCATGCAAAATTTTACTGCTTCAGGGGCTGATCTGTTGGGCCAGCTACTATTGCTTTTGATGCAGTTTACTCCACCAATCTCTATTGTGTAGTAGGCTGGGTCGCGTACCAGGAGCCCGTCATTGGCACCACCGGCGGCCATTGCTTGACGCCGGGCAATACACACAAGTCAATGGGAGAAACGCACAAAAGTGGGAATATCAAAGGTTCTATGCGGAGCTTGAAGACGAGTATTTTACGATGTGCTGCCATCGTTATATCAGGTGTTTGGAGATCAAACCAGTATTTGTCAAGCGTTCGAACGCCGATTAAAAAATCTAATCTGTCGGAGCGCCACCGACTGTGCCGGCGTCATTCGTTCCAGTCGCTAAATAAATGACACGTTTAACAAATGAACGGCACGCTCCAAGTTTTAGTTTGTCGCAGAAGCCCTCACTACAGTTCGAAGTAAAAGATTGCACCAAAAGTACTCTGTACAAGCCCCCCGAAATGATGCACACATCTCCAGTAAAGGCCTCCTACCTTATTGTGCGCTAAGATTGATGACTTCCAGATCACGACAAACTCCACATTGACCCTCGGCAACCCTTGTCTCATTGAATTGCATCGCAGTCCACGCCCAACAAAAGTGGCAACCCTCGACCCTCAACCGCAAAATATTTATTTAATAAAAATTGACATTCTAACATTATTAATATCTGCACCCAGCATATTAGCTGCCGTTCCCGGCAAACGCGATAAAAGCTTAATCGTCAAGAACAAGTCACTGAGGTAAGAAATTGCAGTTTTCCCTGTTTCCTTCATAGAGTCCCATGCATTAGCTGGTGTCAAGCGATGGCTGTTGGGCGTACCACACTCGACCCCAGGAGGACCCGTTTCGACCTGTGACCCAGCCTACTACAACAGAGATCAGTGGTTTATTCCAAGTAAACTTTTAGACAACGTAAGCCGAGATGACCGAGCGGCAACCATGCTCCGTTCACCCCCAAGGGGGACTGGGCGGTGTTTGCCCCGCGTTTGCTGGACCAGTCAACTGTCTGCCTTTCACCGGCTGGCCCCGCTTTTGACGCATGGGTATAGGCGGAAGCAAAGGGCATAGCCAGGGGTGAAGGGGGCCAGTCTAGACCAGGCCGTGTCCTGGATCAACTTAAAATAAAGCTGGAGAAAAAGATTACTTTCCACGTGGCTCAGGTTTTTCTAATTCAAGGACAGCTTCCGTTCGGGGTTTATTTTGGTTTTCCACGACTTCTATCAAAGTGGTTCGGGGGTCAGCCCCCTCTTGGGGTTCGTCCGTTATACCAAAAACATGGAGCCCTACTTGTTTTAAGCTGTACCAAACGTATGTAGGCAATCAGAAACGAGCGTAAAAGTGTTGTAAGCTTGCATCCCCAACACCCAATTTATAATGGGGCTGGCAGAGTGTCGCTTCACCGCAGTACAGTACACCACAGAAAAAAAGATTCTAGCTATGTGCCAGATTCAAGTGCTTTTCAAGCGTACTGTGGTCCCCGGTCGTTTCTGCTCGGAGGCTTCTCTTCGACACTCACCGGGTTGCTTCTCCATGACCGTGAGGAGTCCTGATCTGCGCTGCCGCGGCTGCATCTTCCACTGTGTGTCTTGCACTTCTTCCTCGCTGCCCATGGCCACTGTGTGCCGCTTGCCGTGGCCACGAGCTTGCAGGTACCTGGGTAGCGAAACTCACCTGTTGCCTCACAGAAATCCGTTTATATAATAGCTCATGTTATTTGAAGAACAGTGATCATATACCCATAAATGAAAACATCCCTGGTCAACTCAAAAGACAATTTCACTGGCTGTTCCATCAAACCATCATAAAGCAGCACACAAGGCAATACGAAAAGTGTAGTCTTCTATATGCTGGGAAGTAAGGCATGCATGAGTTTGCATTAACCATAAACTAGACCAAAACAATTACATTTGTGTGTGTTTAAAATATTATTTAAGTGACAATGCAAAAATTTAAACTTTAGAGGGAGACTGACACCCCAAGGGTCGTATTTTTGTTTATTGTCTAAAACGATGCAAGGTGTAGTCATAGACACGCAAAAAAAAAAACGCATCACAAAAAAAGTTTTGCGCGCGCACCTTTTTATTTTTGGCATTTTCCTCTCCCGCTCTTTGCCTCCTCGCTTGTTTTGATTCGTGACGTCAAAAATCATGAAATTTAGAAGCTTTGTAGGTGACATTTCTACAACATTTAATAACGGCAATCGTAAATCATGTTTTTTAACGCAATTGCAAACGCACTGCGGCCCTTCTTTTTGAAATACCAAAAATCGGAGTCCGGTGTGATGTCGCCTTCTGGAATTGTATCCTCCCTTGGAAAACAGGCTGGGCCGAGCGGTGCCTGCCCAGGCGGCACCGCTCGGCCGGAATAAAACCGGTTTTTCTCGGACCCCGGCGCCCCTATCTCCCGCTCCTTTCCCCCTTGCATCGGATCACGGTAACAACAGCACGGAGTCGTGAAAGAAAGTCGACTCTCAGGACTCCGCAATATTTGACGTCAACGCACCGGCGCGAATCATGCGAGAACTTTGAATTTGGCATTTGGAAAGTGTTTTCTTACTTCACAAATACTGAATTCCCAAGTTCCGAATTTTGAGGGTAATGTCCCGGCATCGTTTTCAATCGTTTAGGATAATAATAAAAAAAAAAAAAAGATTTTGATGTGTCAGTGCCCCTTTAAAATAATTTGCAGTTTTAAATTTTGATATTGTTTATCTTACTAAAAGAAAAGGAGAAATTGCCTAATTTTTTTTTAATATCCGATTCCGTTGCGTAATAGCAAAGAAAAGAACGGGAATATTTCACAGTTTGCAGCATCGTGGTGGCCGGCATGAGAACTAAGGCGTGATGCGCAATGGGTATAACGTAATAGGTTTACAACAAGTAAATGCGTCGAAAACCTCATATATCATCGACAAAGTTGTATACTACATTCAGTGCCTCAGGTGGAAAAAACTATTCCTCCCTTGAACCTCACTCTGTTGTGCTACTACGTCAGTCAAACTTCCTTACGAAAAGGCAAGCCCTTGGCTCCCCCCCCCCCCCTCACCACATTGCTCAGACCAACTTTCACGGTTAGGTTGTGAATAGCAAGCAGAGGCCGTGGGCACTGGAGGCTTTGAAAGAAAACCCAAACCGGATACTCCCTATCCCCATCGGGCATCACTGCGCATGTGGCTCGGAAGGAGGTGTACAAGTTGAGAGTGGTTTGGAGGGGGCCAAAACGTCAATTGTTTGACATTTTGTTTTCCAAAGAACTAATGCGCATAGGCAAAAATTGTTTTTAGCTCCTTAATGTAGACATGACAGGAAACAACTACCATAAGTATTTGACCGAAGTCCAAACACTGTTGCAAGGCCCCTTTAAAAATATTAATGACCTCTTTTAGCATGAAATTGAAGTACCCTGGGTGGCTTGCAAGGCTAGAAAGATGGCTAGTGCCCCCTTGTTCCAACTAAAAGGTCAGTTAAATTCTTCTACACAACTTTAAAAACTATAAGCTCGCAGTGCAACAACTTCCAACAACAAAAAGTAATAAGGGCATCGTAGCACAAAGAATTTGGTGGAATGGGCCAGCATGAATTCTTGAATCATAAGACAAGTCCACGGTGTTGCAATTCCGATATGAAAACACGACAAGAAGCTAAAAGCTTATGGCCATTTGCTGTAACCAATTTGCTTAAAAGCCGACTTACAGAATAATTAAGAAGAAAACCAGTTCCCAGTTTCCTTTTCTCCATTCACTCTCGCACTCTTCTCTCCTATTCTCCCCACAGGAGCAGGTCTCTAAGCTACTCTCCCCAGAAAGGAGAATGGTCTCCCTCTTTCTCATATGAAAAGAAGGAATTGAGGGAGAGTTTTCTCCTTTCTGGCTGCTCGTTGGCCTTTAAGCCCAGCATGATCATAAATAACAGTACAAAAGGCTCTCATGGTGCCCAATGAAGCATATACTTTCCTTGAAACAAATATGCAGCACAGATAGACTACAAGCAGAGGAATTTACAAAGGAATTGCTGCAACAGGATAACTAATGCTAAAAAAGCATAATCCTGAGCATCATAATAATAATAATAATAATAATAATAATAATAATAATAATAATAATAATAATAATAATAATTTTATTACTTGAAAAGAAAAAAGGTACAGAATCAGGCCTGCCAAAGCCACATCGGGCTTGTCTGGCTACGCTTATTAAGCCAAGAAATTGCAGTGAAATAAACTATACTACTGCCAAAATAATCTAAACTATAACATGATGACTCTGCATTTGAACAAATGTACTCCACAGGAATACTTTTGCCAAAACCTACCCATGAGTCTTCAAGCGTGAGTGGAATCGAGAAAATACAACATACCTTGAAATTGCATTGCTGTCCATCTGCTCTTCCAACTCTTTCAGTTCGTCACCAAGCCCGGAAATGGGGTGCAGAGACTGTGGAACACCACCACTGCCAGGTGACAACTGAGGAAAAGACATAGCAACAGATCAATCCATTTGCCACTGTAATCAAGCGCCATACACGCAGAGCAAACTGCAGTCTATGGAGATAAAGGTGAAGAGCAATTGTCGAGCCCGCCCTGTGACAGGAAAAAAAGATGGAGATCTGGGTGGAAGTAGCATGCTACATGTGTAGCAATACAAACGTGAAAGTTTTTACATTCCTTGCTCAAATATGAGTGAACAAGATCACCTCAATAGCACAAATATTTCTATAAAAAATATTAAAAAAAAAGTTTTTAAAGATTACTTATATAAAGTTACTAAATTGCTCCTAATTAATGGTTCTGAGGTTTCATTGGAATTTCACTGCGTAACACACCATTCCAGAGCAGTGCCATGGCATTGCAACCAGACATGAATGAGCTTGTGAGTGTATGATTGTTGATCGAGCCATTGGAGAGGGGTGAGAGTGACGGTGGTGATGCAATTGTTCAGTCTTTGGAAAACAAAGCCTCACTCACAGTACCACTAAAAAACATTTTGAGAAAAGCTCCAAATCCATTGCGTCCTATTAAACTTCTACTGCATCACAAAATGCATTTCCTAGACTTAAGAAAAGGTTCCCACCACTTGCATCTTACTTCAACCAATCAAATAGATTAAAAAAAAAAAAGAAAAAGAAGCTAAACATGAAGATACCTAGGTCAGCCAGCCCATCATCGCCTACAACAAAGTCGATCTCCCCCCCTTCTTATTGATTCTTATATTTTTATAAAAATAAAGTTTAACTATATTTATCTGGTAGAATATAGTAGCTTTGCTAAATAATGGAATGCTAGTTACATGCTGCACTGCAGTTCACACTTACGGATGTCAGCAGCTCTTTGCTTGATGGGTGGCTGTACTGACCCTGCAGAAGATGACGCTGGAAGAACATTTGGATATTGGCACCTCCGTCCGATGCTCGTCGCCCAAATCCGCCAACTACAAAAAGACAACACAAGTGTGAGAAGGCACCCTACAGAAAGTATCCAAGTTTTTCACCGTATACCTTCCGCAGACATTAATGTGAATGGATTTCTTTCCGTAAAACACAGTGCCTGATAGTGTGGCCGCGTAGTCGGAAATTTGCCAGCCGAGATGAGATGCTAGTGCTCTTCATCTTAACCTCTTGGCCAAGAGAAAAAAAATTGCGGTGGCTTAGCTCGGCTACGCCAGGATATACGTAGCGTGAGCTTTTGCGCACAAAATGAGAGGCGCTATCAAGCGGCTCTGGTGCAGCGTCAGACTTGGCTACTGTGCAACGGAGGCGCACAGCTGACACGCGGCGGTGCCAGTGTGTCTGCAGCGGCTATGACGTCACTCCTCTAAAGTGCGCAGACCGGCGAGGCGCGCGTGGTAGCGGCGGTAGCTCCGGCGCGCCAGCTGTGCGCCATGCGACGTCACTGCTCCTCGCGCATGCGCAGACCGGCGAGACGCACGCAGCGGCGGCGGAGGCTCTGGCGCGCCAGCTGTGCGCCGTGTGAAGTCACTGCTCCTCGTGCTTGTGCAGCACAGCTCTTTGACAGCCACGCGAAACTGCTCAACCTCGGCCAGTGTAGCTCACGCTACTAAAGTAGAGAAAGCAGGCTCAAATTGGGCTGCGTCTCGGCACAACTTAGCAAAGAAAAAAAACAGACTCCGACAAACTAATCGGAACGTAAGGATGAGGCAGACCACAACATGGTGTTGGTGCGCGCTCCTCCAATAGAAAGCTGTCGCGTGCTTTGCTCCACTGCTCTAAAGGCTGGTTCACACATTTGCATTTGATGACTCTGCTTGAGCGCATTGCATTTCATCCTAACTACTAAACACACTGGCACCATCAGCCCTGAAACCCTTTCGATCAGCACATATATTTTAGTAATCTTTTACGCATCATTCTTCCACTATGGACTGAAAGTAATTCTTGCAATGTTATAAGGAACCATTTCTTATAAAGTGCCTAGGTTTGACCTCACAACTACAATGAAACCTCCGGTCTAGTTAGATGAAGTACCCGGGCTACCTGACAGACAGCGCTAGCGTGCCAGTCTATTCTCTTGTTGTAAGTGATTACAAGAGAACCCGATACCCTTGAGCACAGTCAAATGTGAAAGTGGGAACCAGCCTTAACCGTCTCATGGAGGACTTGGCTTTTGACACTTTGCCAAGATGCAAGATATATATAAGCCTCGACAATGTGCGCGCCGCAGCTGCTGAAAGGGTCCTCCTCCACCTTGGTTGCAAAAGGCGCAACCGGAGGACTCCTCAATATGCGGCTAATGGCAGCCTGTCGCGGGCCTGGTTTCCCACGCTTCTCTATGGAAGACACGCTAGTTTTTAATGTTGTTTTCCGGGGTGCACTGTGTCATGAAGAACTTGGCACTTGTGCTATGCACGTTGCTTAGACACTCCTTCGCCACTGATCCTAGTTTCGTGCCTCAACAACGGCAATAATAGTTTTATGAACATGTTGAAGCGGAGACATCTTTGGCGCAGCGTTCGCACCAGCGTCTGTCAAGGTCGCAGGAACTCTGAGCGGGAAGAGTGCGCACCCGGAATGCGACGCTTTTAATACGAAAGCATTAACTATTTCGTGGAGCGAGCTGACGTCATCAGTTCGAAGCGTGAAAACGGCACCTAGTTTCCTTCAATTCCATTGGCCGCTGCGCTCGTCAGTTTTCACGACTGCTCACCCCATGGCGCTGCGCGCCCATGAGGGCGCCGTTAACGTGGAACGTCCCAGGTCAGCGAGCCCAGGGGAGCACGTGCGCCAACCGGCGACGAAAAGTATACAGCAGACGAAAAAGGGAGCAGACAAGTGGTTTGCATGCTTTCACATTCACAACTCATAAGTGCTTAGGTGTACCTCAAGTATTTTTTTTTTTCTTCATGCGTTTCTTTTCCTTATAGTTACAGGCGTCTGCACAGCGTGGACGCCGTCGGCCGAGGCTACTCGGGCGCGTGCCGAGAAGACTTCATCCGGTCCATTGCGGCGTGTCCTCGCCTACATACACCTTACACCGTGCCCTCTGCCAAGCGATGCCAAAACCGAGTGGGGTCGAGGGGTGGCACGTGCGAGCCCACCCGAGGCTGCACGCAGTAGCTGGGGCAGCCACATTCCGTTCCAACTCACAGGCGCCCATAGCGGGAGGGGGCTTGAGCAGGTGCTGATCCTTGACGGAGAAGTTCTGCGGGGGCTGGTTCTGCACCCTCGGCAGGTTCAGGGGCAGGTTGGTGTGGGGCAGGGCGCTCAGGGGCAAGGGAGGAGCACGGGTGCCTGCCCCCACCAGTGGGACCTCAGCTCCGCACCCTCCTTCGTGCTGGGGGTCTCCAGGACCCACAGTGTGCCTCCGCACCACGGGCAGCAGCTGCTGCTCGGGACCAAACTCCTCGCTGTCCGACTCCAGCTCTATCTCCCCAAACTGGAACAGAGGACACGTCCATGGACGACGATTTAGGGGGGTACCTACAGTCGTTGACGAAATGAGAGCAGCAGGGCACGTCTTTCGAATGCCCGGCTTCCAGCGTGTGCTCCGTGCCTTTCACTACACTTTGGCCTCATGCGCATGACCGAGGTGCACAAGAACTCGAGGCATTGTCAAAGGCAGGATCCTCGCGCTGAAGGTGGGGCAACCGAAGCTCCTCCCTGTCATTTTTACTTTGTCAGCAACTGTGCGGAGCGCGAATTCGTCTGCTTCTTGCGCAAGTGAAATCAGAACGCTGAGCTCCGATTGGCTCGATTGGAGGAATAGTGGGTAGACATCAAGGTAGCTAGCATTTAGGTCCACCCACTACCCTTTCAATTGGAGCCAATCAGAGCTCAGTGTTCTGACCTCACCGCAAGAAGCAGACGAAATTGCGCTCCGCATGGCCGCACAATCAGATCGTCGCACGCTGCCCTGCGAGTCATTAATCATTTAACTACAGCAGAGCTTATCGTAGGAGACTTTCGCAGAGTTGGAAATAGTATAACAGTCCAGCAGCGAAACAAATACTTTTCACATAGCCTCGACAGTGGTCATATCATGTTCGGTGATTTGACGACGGCCATCTACTGTTGGTGTGATGTCTAAATTAGAGGTCACTCTGTTTGGCTTCTGTCAAATCTTAGCGGTGGCATGCCTTCCGTCTTCTTTCTTGTCTCTGTGTGGATGCCTGGCATATTGCTGTACCCTTATTCGAATAAACCCAGCTGCATTTGAGATTTCGGTCATCTTGTTCATTATTGTATTTCTCCGTGTCTAGAAATTTAGATTACGATGTTTCCTAACCAGCTCACCTGCAATTTTCGCTTCGTGCATACCGGATGTTTGAAAATAAAACTACTAGTAAAATAAGTAACTTCTAAAAATCTATGGCAAATGCATACCGAGTTAAAGGAGCAGTAAAGTAGATTTTGAGTAAATTTTTTATGGCGATAACTCAATATACATGCCCAAAGAGTCTTAAAAAACTAAAAACTACGATCATGTGTGGCATTTCTTCTATTAAAAATGTGATAAAACATCACAAAATGTTTTTTTAAAGATACATCAAAAAAAAAAAGAAGTGAGTCGGAATGTATCACATTTGTAATAAAGAAAAATGCCAAGCAAAACCGTAATTTCGGATATTTTGAGGACGCTTAGGGCACGCAGACAGAGTTTGTGCCATGAAAGCATGATCTCAAAAACCACTTTAGTGTCCTTTCAAGGTTTCCCAAGCTGTCTTTTTCACTAGTCCCATTGCATAGCTAAAATTTCAGGCTCCAAGTCAGTCTGTCTCGGAACTAAACAAAATAAAACAGCTATTTTCAATAGCAGGGCGAGAGCAAAGAAGCCCATATCGAAAAGAGATGCTTCTTTTTCTTTCACGGCTCGAAGAAATGGTACTTCCTGTGCCATCTTTACCACAGGCAGTGCCAAGAGTAGACAAGATGGATAATGCACTGGACCCAATGCCAAAAAGCTCTAATTTTACATACTTGTTTGCACTCAGGCTGCATTAGTCTATGGCGGCCTATTCTAAGTTGTCCTAACTTGGTACAATTGGAGGCTCTACATTACAGAGCCCTTCTACATCTCACTTTTTCGTACAGGACAGACTCGTGGGTCAAGCGTGCCTAGGGGCTTGTTGGATACAGCAGTGGAGATGGACTGACCTTTTCTAGAGACTGGTCTCCCATCAGCATGGGGTGCAGCTCAGGCATGGGGCTCACAGTCAGCACTGGGCTGGGAACGAGGTTTTGCTGCTGCTGTTCTGCATCCCCATCTACAGGCTGGGGACTCTTCTCCACTGGGAAGTCACAGAGCCAGAAAGAACAGTAGTTAACAGCATTCTGACCAGCACGTAACACTGCTAATATGAATCCAATGCCTTAAGTTCCTTGCATTTTGCTCGCGCGCCTGTCGGGCAACATGGCCCAAATGGCTAATATGCTAGAATCTAAAAACAGATATGCTAGAATGCCTAGAACAGGCAACAGAAACCATTCATATAGTGATCTCCTGAGTGCTGGCATCATTGCGTACTGGTTACCTGCACTGAGCCCCAATTATGTTCTAGAGCAGAAGGTACTGGGGTTTCTGGGATCCAAACAAAATGCTTCCAATCAAAGGTTGTGACCGTCTAGACCGGGACCATTTTGTTTGGATCTTGGAAACCCGAATACACCTTCTGCTCTAGCACATTATTGGGGCTCAGTTCAGGAAATTGGAACACACTGATGTCTGAACGGTCACAATCTACTATTGGGACAGTTTTAATCAGGACCCTTAAATAAACTGCACTGCAAAGGATTACAAATAACGACACTGAAACTCAACATACAGAAATAAGTTCAAACTGACAACAGTTTATTTTTCCTTTCACACAAAAATGAAAGAAAAACATGAAAAGAGGAAAAAGAAGGAAAGAAGTGAAAAACATAAATAAAGAATGAAAAATTGTTTTGCGATTTCCGTCATCAAAAACGTTTAAACCTATGCAGTGATAGATTCAGAGAGGGGTCCGGGTGTCCTAACCCCCCTCTCGAATTCTGCATGTGTAAAAATCTAGGAAGGGAGGGGGTTCAAACATATAATACGCTAACCCTCCCTCTGAAAATACCTGCGTCCGCCCCTGAACCTACGTTATTGTCACTGAGGCATGTGTGTGCATGACAATGGTGTAGGTTTAAGTGTCGTGGATGATGGAAACTGCAAAACAGTCCTTCATTCTTCATCTGTTTCGCGTTTCTCTCCCTTCCTTTCCCTTTCTTATTTTTGAAATTTTTTTCCCCTGCTTTTGTGTGGGGTTAAATATGAACAGTTGTTACTTTGCACCTATTGTCCCAGGGTGATTATGGTACTATTTGCAATCCTTTGCAGTAGGGTTACCAACTCCTCCATGAGGGAAGTCGGGACGGGGGGGGGGGGGGGGGAGGAAGAAACACATAAAAACAAGCAAAGTCGGTTCTTTATTAATGTGACATCTCAGTTTCACTTGCATATAACTCCATCGTTTCTTTATTGTTGTGCCCTCTTGAACCAGTACTTCTCCTGACTTCTTGCTGCTCGTAACACTTCCTCTTGCTTAATGACGTAGTCATAGAAGTTGTCGCACTTCAGGCGCAAGTTCAGCGTTACTTGCAGCTCTGTCTGTACAAGTTCAACACGCATACGGTTTCTGTCGTCTCTCTACAGACTCTTCATAACTGAGAATACCCTCTCCACGGGGGCGTTGCTGACGGGGATAGAAAGCACAAATTCCCCAAGCTTGAGGAGGTTTGGTGCATCACAGCTCTTGAAAGACTCTACCCACTTCAAGTCAGCCGGTTGATCTTGCGCTAATAAATTAGGCGTTGCAGTGCGGAGAATGTCAAACTCCTCATAGAGATGGTCACCATCGAGTTTCAGTCCTGTCGCATCGACAGCACGCATGAGTTCGTCAAAAGTGAACTCCCGTTTTAAGCCGAGCACCGAAAGTGCCATCAGTGGAGAACTGTCAAATGAAAACCATTTCTCCAGATACTGAACACTTCGCTCATACACCCTCGCAGCATCAGTGCAGAATGTGTTTCGCTCGTGCTGCGTCAGCATTTTTAGAGCCTGGTGCACCTTGAAACCATAGAACTTATCACTGGCTCTCGTCTTCAGGCTTGTTCTCATGGAATTCATGATTTCATAAAGGTCGGTGGAGTGAGTGGACTGGCTCTCAAGCCTCTTGATGTTGGTCAGAACCAAGTACATGAAATGATGCAAGAAGTACATGTAGCACATTGGCAGAGAGATGTCATTGTCACTGGAGAGCTCGTTTTCTTGGTTGAAGATGAACTTCCAAATGAGGGGATTTGTCTCGTCCTCTCCGTGCGACAGGAAATAAACACGTACAGCCTTCCAGTTTTTGATCAGCCTGTCAAGAGCAGGAAATAGTGACAACCACCTGATTGGAAGGTGCCTCAGAAGACTGCTATACTCGTCTTCGTCGATGAGCTCAAAGCAACTCTTGAGTTCTTCTACCTTCTTTGCTGATGAGGAAAACTCATTGTAGACTTTAATGACCAGGCTGTCCACATCATATCTCAAAAGCCTGCATAAGAATTTGGCCATGTTGTGCAGGACGTGACAGTTACAGTTGGCTGGGATCAGATGAGGGTTAGACAACTTCAGGTTCTCAAACACCAAATGATGTCTTCCATAGTTTACCGAAGCATTGTCAGCTGAATATGCAGAGACGTCTTCAATCCGCAGTGAGTTCTTCAAAAGTACAGCCATCAGACGATTTGTGACTCCATCAGCTGTCTCGTCATGGTCAGCATAGAAGTCAAGCAGACCTTCCAAAACGCCACGCTCTTTCGAGAAGTATCTTAGTAATACTGGAAAACACTTGATGTTGCCTTTGTTTGAGGCGTCAGTGGCAATTGAAAATGCCTTGTGGTCACGGATGTCATTCAAGAGAGTCTCGACGGAATGTGGAACGAGTACACTCTCCACAATGCTCTCGCACTTCGTGCGGCCACAGTGTATTTTACTACTGGGCTTAGAGTCTGCGAAAACCTTACTTGTCAACTTCAAAGTGCAGTCTGTGGACAGGTAGCTGTGGTGGTGAACAGCTCCGTGGTAGGCAAAGCTGACTTCAGCAGCTGTAGTCATCTTCTCTTGAGAGGAATTCTTAGCAACGAAAAAGTTTGCGATGCACTCATTCTTGTTTTTCGCGTGAACGGAGCCCTTGTGCTTGCTTGACTGCATATGCCTTCTTATGGCGCCAATGCCTTCGCTTTTCACCGAAAATTCAGATGGACATACCTTGCATCTTGCCATGCCTGCTGTTTCTCCTTTGGCTAGCCACTGCTTAAACACCGTGTCCGCCAACCACTCGTCGTTGAAAGCGAATTGCCTTTTAACCCTTTTTGCGGTTTTCGGAGTCGCAGAGCAGCTGCTCCACGGTTCGTTTTCTTCTTCGGAACTTCCACCGATTCTGGCACTCGCCTCGTGGTCCTGTGGACTAAACATCGTCGTACTGTTCCGGGCCTCCGGCATCAAATGTTCACACAAGAGCTCAAGAGCACATGTTCCGAACTTCCTATGACAGCCACGGGCCACTGTGAAGAAAGTACAAGACGACGGACAAAGGAGACATAAAGGGGTTTATACAATGATGATGATAGCGAGCGCAATCGGCCGCGGCACCAGCAGCGCCAGTTACGCTCCAATTTCCGGCTTGCCAAGTGACTAAAGCCTCTCACAGCCAACGCTAGCCGCCGCAGCATTCCTTCGTGCGATTCGTGCTATGCTGCGTGATGCGCGTTGTTGGGCGTGCGTCGTGCGTTGGTTCACATATAAAAATTGCTAAGTGGACGGTCTGGACCAAATCCGGGACATATAGCTGTCCCGACAGGGACGATGCGGGACTCGGGACACTTCATGAAAAGCCGGGACAGTCCCGCAAAATCCGGGACGGTTGGTAACCCTACTTTGCAGTGGAGTTAGTCATAGCATGAAAAACCAACAGGCCCAATCCCAAGCACTGTTGACCAGGAGCGTTTTAAAGATTTGCCCATTCTGAAGAGTGGGATCTACCATAAAGTATCGAGCAAGCACCTACCAAAAAGTTCAATATTATCCCGAAAAATGGGTTGGGCACCTGTTAGGTTCAAGAACGAAATAGCAGAACGGGCATGTGGCAGGGCAGGCCCCTGCTTGGCTCTTGTTTGGTCCGGCAAAGTGGTATAGCGCCGCATGTGGCCAAGTCGGCAGTGTATGCGGCTCCCACGCAGAGTGTGCAGGTTTAACACCCACTAGCCCAGTTTTTCATTTTATTATTAATGCGATACTACCGAGAATGAACTAAAACTTTCCAGCAAAGTACTAGAAAGTTTTAGTTCATTCTCGGTACTTATCGCATTTCCTAGGTAGAACCTTCCTGAACCTAGAGAATGTATAAAAGCAACCCTAGCATGCTGCATTGCGTCGGTCATATGCCAGCAATCGATCCTGTTGTTACGTAGAGAGCGACACCTGCGACGTGAGTTACTGCATTTGTATTATGGCACAAAGTCGTCACATTAGACCTTTTGTTTTCCAAGTCTACTCCTTCCTCGTCCTCTGCCATTCGTGACAAAAGGAGCAATATAGATGTCCGACGGATCCCATATAAAGCAATCAAGCTTTACCACCTCGCGCCGGTACATGCCCGTAAAGCTTCACTACTTTACTCGAGTGTGCTTGCTGAAGCTGCTGACGCAAAGGAGCATCTGAGTTAGCTCGGTGGGCTCAGATGTTTGCTGGGGTGGGCGTTTGAGGCCTTTGCTCATGTTTCAAACGCTTCGAAGTATGGTGTGAGCACTTAATGTGACATAGGTGCATGTTCGGTATTTAACATTAACCTGATGTTCCTAGACCCAGAAATTGCGCGATGTAAACTTGCAATGCCAGCACGGCCAAAAAGATGCAGACAATCACTTGGAGTGCGAGGGGGGCTCACCAATGCCAGTGGTGATGCTGGACTTGCGTTGGGGCTGTGCAGTCAGGGGCAAGTTTTGTGGTAGCAGAGCCCTCTTCTGCTGGTTCTGCAGCTTGTCATACAGCAGGTGGTAGATGGCACTGTAGTGGTCAAAACGCTTCTCCTGCACAGACTGGGAACAGAGTAGCAAGAATTACCCTTCCTGCTGACAGCTAAGATGACTCAGCCATGCAGGGCCTGTAGATTAGGACTTGAAGTTTCTGCAACAGAACTGTTTGTACACTGGCACTGGGGGAGCTTACATTGACAGCACAGTTATGTAAACTTCAAATTATGTTTCTCCATAAGTGAAAACATATTCAATAGTGTTATGCAAATATTAAATTTTCTAAAAGTAGTTTCGAATAATATCCTATTCAATATTTACTTCGAGATGAACTGCAATATTTAAATTTTTCTAAGTGTTGATTGCGGTGGCACACTTCTTACCGAACACCAGTGCACCGCAGAGAAGCAACACCTGCCGAGCCCGCTTCCGCAGATGTTGCTTCTCCGCAGTGCACCGGAGCTTGATAAGAAACAAACTCAACGAGGCTAATTTGCCGCAATCAACATTTAGAAAAGAATAAATATTGCCACTGTGTGCTTAGGAGATTAGCACACTTTCAAAAATGGATGGTGCATACGTGCAGCTGGTATATTAAAAAAAAAACTTAAACTTTGGGACTTGATATTTACACTGAATGTAAATTTCAAAAATTAAACTGTGGCTATTATGCAAGAATATATGTTAGCAGAAATGTCCTGAAACCTGTGTCTATCATTCATGATTGCCTTTTCTTTTCTCACATTGGAGATGTAAGAAGAGGCATTTTCATAAAGTAGTAAAATTTATAAGTCCCCTCGATAAGGTATAGCTGGACATCTCTACAGGTTTAATCTTATTTTAAATGCATCATTTATTTGCCATCACAATGTAGGCATTGGAGTTTCTGATGCCACACTCTATAGTGTATACCTATAGTTGGATGAACTGGAAGCTCGAGAACAACCTTCACCAGTTCAGCTAGGTTTACGTTTAAGGATGGCGCGCAGTAGTGAAAGGCGAATATTTGGCCAAGACCACTATTCGCTTTGGATTCAAAATCCACTGTATGCACGTGCCTAATAAAAAAAATAAAAAAAAATGGAATGTTTATGCATGGCTACTATAGAGTAATAATTTTAAGTTAAAAGCAGTCAAACCACATCTTGACTAATCCCTATTCATAAAGACGTCTGGAGAACTGCAGGGAACTCATTATATGCAGATTGCCCTATAAACCTCTGTTAAAGGGACACTGACACCCCCCCAAATTTTTTTTTAATTTTTTGCCAGGCGCTTTATTATGATGTCGGAGGACTACCCAATTAATATTTTGCAACAGAGTAGCGTATTTTTTTAATAAAGCCAAAAGACGCAACTGCTCGAAACCGAAACCGAAACCCGACGGAGGTCGGAGAAGTGGAGAGAAGAGAGCGAGTGGCGGAAGTCACGTGGCTAACCTGACCGTGCGTTTTTTTTTTTTTTTTTTCTCCTTCCCGGTAGCAGACGACATGCGGCGTACGGAAGCTGTTCGCCGTGGGATTCTTCTGCAGTTATGTATGTTCCGCTCGTTGTTCTGTACTCTAAGATGAGTTGTTTTGTATATTGAGGTGTTGGAGATGGGTAGTGAGTGCCCGTGGTGAATTTTGATCGGCTCCGAAAAGAATACACCCAAGATGTTGCGTGAAGAGCTGGCTCACATGTCCTGCGTCCGAAACAGAAGTGGCATTGTGCGACAGAGTTTCCGAAAGATCAACGGGATCGGGACCAATGGCTGGCTGCAATTCCTGTAGACCATTTACGGGCACCTCGGAAAGCGGACGTTACCTGATTTATATGCTCCTTGCATTTTGTGGAAAGTGATTACATTGAGTTCGCAGGTGTCAAAAAGGAAATCCCATACCATTTAATTCAGCGACGTGTCGTCCACAACATTTGTTTCTTATTTTTTTTTTGTTTCTTCAGTGATAATTGTAAAAAAAAAAAGAAATGTATACATCGAAAAACATATGAAAAAAAAAAAAAAAAAAAGATCCACGGGGGATCGAACCCCATCCTACGGCGTGTAAAGCGGATGTCTTTCCCACTAAGCTACTGGGGCATATGGAAACTAGGGATCTCTTTCCTTAGTACTAATTCAGCCGATAAAAAGTTTGCTACCGAGTTTTCTTTCGCAAAAGCACTCCCGGGTGGGTCGAAGTCGGGATGCACCCCGCATTGGCGACATTCTCACCTTGTAAAGAAATCGTACGCGTGCGTATTCAACTCGAAGTAGACACGTCGTGCTTGACGTTTGCGCGAGCGGTGTCTTCAGCCACGAGAAGGGAGCGACGGCTCGGTGACGTCTTCGTGCGAATCGGCTTGGTGGTCGGGCGTGTCGTACGGGATGAAGACCAATTCTTTTGATCAGTCCCAAATTTCTCTTTTAAAGGCAGACAAAATTCTCTAGTACCGCGAACGACAGTTCTGAAATAGAGGTCCCACGCCCGTCGTCCGCTGCCATCGCGTCCCTGCGAGTCCTACGATACGCGAAACGACGCACGCACAGAATGCTTCCGGTTGTCTGTGAAACTTTTTTTTCAATCAACGTATTTGCAGCTTTTTAGAAGCCACAAGAAATGGGTTTCATATTTTTTTCTATTTTACAGTTCTGAAATAGAGGTCCCACGCCCGTCGTCCGCTGCCATCGCGTCCCTGCGAGTCCTACGATACGCGAAACGACGCACGCACAGAATGCTTCCGGTTGTCTGTGAAACTTTTTTTTCAATCAACGTATTTGCAGCTTTTTAGAAGCCACAAGAAATGGGTTTCATATTTTTTTCTATTTTTAATATTGAGTGTGTGCCTTCAGTGACCCACGACTTTGATTAAATTTGGTGGTCGCATCGATACCTTAGAAAACGGCCCGTGACCGCGGAAAAGAGAGTGAGCGAGACTCGAACCGGCCAGTTCTTGATCGGCGGTTTTCGGGCGGAAAGAAACCGAATTTCGAGCCGCAAATTCTGTTCTGGGTAGTTGAGCTCTCATATGTCACGTACAACTAAAAACCTCGGCGAGCATAAATACCCTGTCAGTGTCCCTTTAATGGAAACTTTTTTCTCTGGTAATCAAATCTCCGCAAGAACTACTTTGTGCAGTGTTTGAACAATGCACAGGACTTGCTTCTCTTTTGAGGTGATAACTAGTATAGTTACACATTACAAGAGCATGCCTCTTTTGGTCCTCATATAAAAAGAGAACCAAGATCCAAAGGACCACAGGGAAGCCAAATATAAACTAAAGATGATTGATGAAACAAAGATGGTAATGCTTGCCTCAGTAAGGAAGCAGACATGTCGCAAAGCCAAACCTTTCGACAAAATATTCTCCACATGGCTTCCCAGAATTCAACTGAAGTTACTAATTTAAAACAGAATAAAATTAACCTTCGAGCTACTTTCTCGAACAAAGGTCAGTAGCAAAAGCGGTGGCTGAAGCAAATAATTCATAAATTCTGATTTTTTTTCCAAAGTTGGACAGTTACCTTGTCGCTTGTCACACGAATGTGTAGCTATATCCTGTGTCTTCAGGCAGAACTGATAACCATCACCACCGAACGCAGTATGCCTTCTGTGTTACTTTTTTTTTTCTAGTGGTGCTTAGCCCTATATAAAGACCATCACACTGCCGCATCGTCTTCCCTCGCTTTTGACGGAGAATCAGCCCGGAATTCCAACTGTATTGCCTGATTCCTGTGACAGACTCCTCGCCGTGGCTTCAAGCCTGGTTCGGTCCAACACAACAGAGGAGACAGGTTTCGGCAGAACAACAGCCAAAACAACCTTTTTGCTGATATTGCTCATTGTTGCCACACAATTCTATAACTATAACTGCAATATCAAAGCTACTAAATAAACAATCCAATTATTAAGGCCTAACTTATCAATAAAAGAAGTGTGCAATAAAGTATTTTTGTATTATAATATTATTATTATTATTATAAGTTAGCAGTAGAAGGGTTAGCTGGAGGCCCAGTGCGAAGCATGCAGCACACATGAGAGCTACTGCCCACCTGCTCGATCTGTTCCCTGGTAATGTGCGGCAGCTGGAGCATGTGCTGAAGCACAATGGCGTCGACCATCTCCCCATCCTCCGAGGCAGAGGGGGCCTTCCCGCAGCGCTCCATGAGGCGCTCGAACTCCGGGTAGGGGGCCCCCTGGCGCATCCACTTGTGCTGCACCACCTGACGCACCGTCCACCGCTTCTCGGGGTCCACCACCAGCATCTGGCGGATCAGCTGCTCGCATTCTGCACACCCCGTGCGGCCGATCCTTCAGGGCAAGTGGCAACCGAGAATGCTGAAGCAATAAACTGTGCTGCATGCTCGTTCAGACAGCGAGAAGTTAGTCGGCCCCATTGAGCATCTGGCGCCTCCGCTCTAGATGAGGAATTTTGGCAGTCCAGTACCACTGCTATCTGGGGTCTTTAACACGTGACACCACTCAGATGCACGACCACACACCTGTACAATGCTGGGACATAGCCAGTAATACGGAATGTCCATGACAGGGGATGCAGGGGCCAAAATGCATGTGTATATTATAAGTCCGGCTGGATTTCAAGGGGGGGGGAAACACCTTTCCCTGGCTATGCCACTGGTACAATGCTCATCCAGATCGAAACGAGCAGGAGTGGGCTTTGAACCCAGGACCCCTGGTTCTGCAGCGCTAGCTTCCGCTCGACTTGTGATCTGAACAGCAGTGCACCAACATTTGCGGCCACCGATCATAGCTGAAGTGGTCGCGAATCAATTATTTTGAGATGTGTTACCGCTCATCTTAAAGAGTACCTGGAACAGGTGCCGGGAACACGTCTCCAAGCGGCAGTTCAGCATCCTACAGCACCCATGCGTCAAAAGTGGGCCCAGAGTGGCAACAAATTACATCGCAGGCATCACCGTGTCATGCTGCCCCATGTCGCGATCCCGGCGCTTGATTGCAGAGGTTTCGCCAAACAGACGAGCGAGTGCAAGTGTCGCCGTCGACCATAGCATCTCATCTCGTCCGATTTACTTTCAGTCTGCTGTCCGATTGTAGCACAAGCTGCGATGGAACGGGCACCTGCAGCATACACCTCCGCTGCTCTGTCACTGCAGGGATCGCGGCAGGCAACGGCATGACGCACGCAACATCATCTGGTGGAAATTATGGAACCACAAATGAAGGCATGGTAAACATATCAGTTGGAGACGTGTTTCAAGCACCATTGTACTACCAGCATTCACAGAGGGAGCTTGATTGACCTATGACCAGTACTTCGTAGCTGCACGTTTTGTTGCAAAACAATCTAAGAGAAAGTCAATTATGACTCACCCGTCGTCATAAAGTAAGGAACCCTGAACTTCCCAGAGAGAACACTGGTTCGAAGGCTTTGCAACGTCTTTCCGTCAAACGGTAGGGCACCGCACACAAGAACGTACAGGACGACACCCATGCTCTGAAAAAGAAAAGTGAAGGAAACAGTAATTTCCTCAAATGTTCACCGAAACAATAAGATTTCACAAATCAAATCTGCAGCCATTAGGAATAGTTAGAGTACAAAAATGAAGTTGGGAGTTGAATAGAGAGGAGAAAGCCTGAAATACTCTGCACATGCATTACAACCGAACTAGTCCTTGCATTAGGAAATTTCAAAAGGTTCAAGAGCCATGGTTATAAGAGTCCCTGTAAAGACTATTCCTTTTTGTTCTTTTGCAGTGAAGCAACATCCAGAGAAAAGGGCACTTGGCGAGGCCAAGAAAAGATGCTCCACACTTATGGCGAGGCCATGCTTGTACATTGATTTCACTACAAGCCTTACTAAAAAAAAGTCAGAGGACACCTGAGCACATCTTAAGAGTTCTTACGAATATGAAAGTAGGAATGCCGTTCTTCTGCTCCCTTAGTTCGCCTGCAGTGTAGAGGTACGGACGGCCGCGTTTCACCGGCCGACGGCCCAGCGTGCGTTCTCGTGAACAGGCCGCGCCGCGCTCGGCCGTACACCCGCTCCGGAGCTTGCCCGAATGGGTTCTGCCACCACCGCCGACCACCACTCTCTCTTACCGGCGGCCGGGCCACTGCATGCACTTCACCACCATGGAGAGGGCTTCTCTGGTGGCCTTTTTTGGAACTACACCACACGAAATTCAATGACAGCCTTGCTCTTTGATGACGCGAGCCAGCCAATAGGAGCCTATCCATCAGATTTCTACTACAGACGACATTGGAACAGGGGAAGGGCCATTTGGCGTGGCTTAATTCAAAGCTGATGACGTCGGTTTGCTCCATGGGACAGCTAATGCTTCCGTATTAAAAAATTACAGGTTTTTACTTGAGCTAGGCCATCTGCTTGGCCACAAAAACGAGCAACGAAAAAAGTTGCAATTCACACCTTTGCCAATAGCATGATAAAGCTTGAATTGCTGAAGCATTCTTATCCACTATGGTGGCCAGTGGAAGCTTTAGATACATTAAAAACCGATGCTTCCATATCGCAGCGGTACAAGTTGTGCAATAGATGGTGACCAAACTGCTCCTTATAGGCAGGGTGAAGTCTACCCATAACCTCTTGCCCAGGCATAAAATCTCCGAAAAGGTTGTGCGAACAACACTGCGTAATTAACTGCCGAATACAAGACTAAGAACCTACAAACGCATGCAGTACTAAAATGTTGCTGTGTACCCACTTTCCCAGAGAGCACAAGGAGAGCCAGTCACTGAGGTCCGCAACGAAAGGTTGGAGAGTGATGTTGGAAAATGATCTAACAAAACATTTAAACGTAATGTGACACTGAGTGTAATGTGATGCGATGTGAACTGATGATCTCGCATCGCATCAATAGAAGGGATTTCCTGATGGTGTTCCTTTCAAGGACCCTGACATCAGCAGAATGCAATCATTCGCAACTTGAAAAGGAGGCTCTGGCCTTGGTCTTCGGAGTTTCAAAATTTGGAGATTATCTCTTCGGCAACCGCTTCACACTGGTAACAGACGACAAGCCACTAACGGCGTTGTTTCATCCGGAGCGGTCAATACCCCAAATAGTGGCAGCCAGAGTCCGAAGCTGGGCACTACTTCTCTCAGCGTAGCAATACGACATCCAGTATCAGAAGGGAAAGCAGAATGCTAATGCCGACGCACTTAGTCGCTTGCTGCTGCCAGGACAAGAGGATAACAGCAGTACAGAGCTCATGGAATACGTGCTGTACACTCAGGACCTAGACGACCAGATTTTATCAGCCCAGCAGTTGACGGCCCTGACCAACCAGGACAAGATTCTTTGGCAGGGGAAAGAATGAATTCAATGTGGGTGGCTACTGTATTTTGGCACAAATCAGCAGCCTTTCTTGCCTTACTTCGCTCGCAGAAACGAGCTCACAATTAGCCACGACCCCAGAAGAAAATCAGTCCACTTGCAGATGGATTATGCAATTGATCCCAGTTGGATCCAGCCGGAAATGAGACAATTCAGCTGGGTCCAGCTGGATAGTTTCGCTTCCAGCTGGATTCAACTGGGATCAGTTCCATAATCCATCTGCAAGTGAATGGATTTTCACCTGGGACGCCATCTACAGGGGTCATTGCGGGGTCTTACCAGAAGCGGCAAGATCATTCATACTGAAGGAGTTTCACAATACTTTTCCCAGTAACACAGCAATGAAGAGTCTGGCCCGGATAATTTTGTGGTACCCGGATTTAGATTAAAACATTTGAGATACTTGTAAAAAACTGCCTGCAATGCGTGCAGTGTTGGCCGATGGCCACAGTACAGGTACCGTCAGAGGCCAGAGACTAACGAACCCTGGTACCGCCTGCATATGGATTTTGCGGGCCCTATCGATGGAGACATGGTAACATATTGTGCTGGTCGATTCGGATACGAAGTGGACTGAGGCTGTACCACTGAAGACTGCAATAACGGGCACCACCATTGATGCCCCCAGGGGAACCTTTGCTTGTTTCGGCCTGCCTGAAACCCTTGTATCAGACGATATGGCTCCCAGTTTTCAAATGCAGCGTTGGCTCGATTTAGAAAAAAACAACATATGTGTCATATGACAACCGCACCTTATCGTCCACAATCAAATGGGCTAGTGGAACCGTTAGTTCGCACCATTAAAGAAGGTCTAAAGAAGAACAAGGAAGACATGTTCCTGATCTGCTCCAATCAAGAAAGGCAAGTCGACAGCAGAAATGTTGCTGGTATTTCAACCAAGGACGAAACTAAGAGGCTACTTTCCAGGTGACAAAGAGCCAAACGACAAAGAGTCCTCAACCAATGGATCAGTACTACTCGCTCTGGGAACACACGCCTGGTGACGTGTGTATACTGCGGTATCTACACCAGGGAGGGTGCTGCCATTGTTACCAGGTGGGTAACAACGGCGGCACTTTGATCAGCTGTGAAAGCAAGGCACTAGAAAAATGCCACACAAGCAGGAACGGGACAGCCACCCACAACAGGCTGACGGTCGAACAAAGGCTGACGAGAGGGCAGATAGCCAACAACAGCTACTAGTAGACAGCGCCGGCAGCTCCAGTGACCTAGCTGTTGGAAGCGGAGCTGGCAAATGACCCAGCGAGGCCCCGACCGTAGACGCGAAAGAGGAGTACGCCGGCTAGCTTGAATTTCAAAGGGGGAAAGAGATGTGTAGCAGAACTATGCCACGGGCTCCACGAGTGAGCCGGACAATGACGACCAGCTCTGGCATCATGCACGTGCTGCGAGCGCTGGAGTGACTGAATGAGCCATGGCAAACCGGGCAGCTGATGTAGAATAAAACCTTCGGGTTCCTACCATCCTTGTATGGTGCTTCAGTGAGCATGAGAAACATCCCAGTCGGCATCACATTGCAAATTTAATTCTTTGCGAAATTTTTTTTTTTTTTTTTTTTTTGTTTCTGCTTTTTTTGATTTACAGTTTTTCTGAGTGGTCCAAGAGAGACTACGTGCATGGGTATTTTTCTAATGTGCAGCAGGTCATGCAAGATTGTACTATAGTAGTTGAAAAGGACCGGTGATGGCATAACAAACCCGGTTCATATATCAAAAATGATGAAATGATTTCACTTACATTTCTGCTTGTTATATTATGTTTCAACGGCCATAGTTTGTAAGTGCTCCTCAGCGATCGCGCACAGAGATTATTGAGTCTGTGCTTGCTCAAGCACATCGTGGTGCAGAAGGTGGCATTCACTGGCAGCCATAGTTCAGTTCGTTCCTGCTCAGCACGAGCTTACAATTATCTTCCACAAGGCTTCTGCAACGTGCATTGTACACCACAAGATTTTAAATCTTCTCTGAAAATAAGTGGGGGTTCGTTCTGAACCTGTGCTGAGTCTGTGTTCATCCTGGTGAACTCACTTTTCAGCCAGCCACTTTATGAATGTGTATTAATATTTGCTACAGATGTTTGATATCTATAAAGCAAAGCAGTAAAACAGCTGTAGCACCTTATTTGACCTATCAAAACTGCTCCTGAAACTAGGCTAGTCGTGTGTTTTGCGGTATTGCAATACAAACTTTGTGTCACACGAGGACCATGCAACTGATCAAGGATTTCCATCATTTTCCGGTAGTTTCGGTTTTACCATAGACTTGCCGAAACAAAACTTTGAGATAGGATATCTTCAGAACTACACAAGGCATTGTAAAAAAATTACACCTTGTAGCACAGGGACTCCTCACTAAAGATAGTCGTAACCCTAAAATCAAGAAAATGTACCGGAATTACCTTTAACTTCTGTACCCTTTGTTCATGAAGAACAGCATGTGAAAGAAAAGTATAGCACACCTGCCAACCCTTGGAGATCAAAATTTATAAAATCTGCTGGCAGGAAAAAAAAAAGGAAATCATCAGAATATATTTTGTTTTCCTTATTTAAAACTTAAGTTGCATGCAACGTAAGGACAAAAAAAGTGTGCAAGTATAAAGCACAGCAGTTGATTGTGCAAGGGGTGGCAACAATTTTTTATGCCCAAGTACTACGAAGAGTTATCACTTACAGATATTTGTGTTATTTTGGCTTAATATTCAGGCACTTGTATACCTGTCGCTCTGTGAGGTGTGCATGTCCCTATGCATGGAATTGATTCACGCAGAAGTAGCAGCCCAGGGTGAGAATTGGTGCAAAAAGACTAGATGGCAAATTTTCAACTAAGGAAAAAAAATATACTCAGCAGTGCAATTGCATAGGAGCATATTTGAAAAGGCCCTCAAGCAAAGCCAGGGGGCAACTATTTTGCTGACATACAACGTTGTTCCCACAGTCCAACGCTTCACTTTTTATTTAAAATATTTTATTTCCAAAAAGAGATGCAGACAATTAGAGGCAACCGTCAATTTGGTGGTTGAGGAAAGAGCGGCATGCAACTCGAGTGCTTGCATGACAGGCGCTTTGACAGCGTAGTCCTAGGTCATAAAATATTTGTGCTCAGAGTGCATGAGCCTAGTCCCTACAGGAACAATCTTTGCTCATCGTAAGCACCAATTACTGATAATCAGGCATACTGAACAGCGGCAAGTTCCTGACGTAACTGAAGATCCGGACAAAGCAGACCCTCATGCAATCTATGAGGTTAGATATTTTTCACTGCAAGTGCGGCATAATGTCTCAAGAGACCTATTCTTCGCAGAATCCCTTTGTACAATCATAAAATATGGGTTTAACTCGTGTATTTCTAAAGAAAAATCGGGAAAGTTGGCAGGATGCAATTGCCACCTTAATGTTCAAGCCCAACGCGCAACCAGAAAGAAGGAAGACCACTCTTCAATTCCTTCTTTCCATTCCATAGACGAGGAAACCAATCCTTCTTTCGGAAGGAATCGGGTCCCAGACCAGCCCTAGGTGCAAACTGCCAAAAACCATCCTTTCCCGGAAAGAATAAAGGAAGAGTATGGGAAGAAATGGAGAACAACTGGGAAAGGGTCTTCTGCCAGACAAAAGCATTTTGCGGGACAGCTTACGAGAAAAAGCTGGTTCACACACTTGTATTTGACTGCTTGAAAGCATTGCTTTTGCTTGTAATCACTTCCAATGATATGACACACTGCCACCATTTATTATTAGCCCTGGAATCCTTTTGATCAGCGCATATATTCTTATAATTTTTTACGCTTTGTTCTGTCACTCTCATTGATAGTGCGAAGATTTGATCTCGGAAATACAGCAACACCTTCAGTCTAGTAGTTATATGAAGTTCGGAGGTGACCCCGCAGATGGCAGCAGTGTGCCACTGTGTTTGCCCGTAAGCGGTTAAAAATAGAATGCAAAGCACACGAGCACAGTCAAACACAAATGTGTGGACCAGTGAGGGAGCTGTGCAAGAGATTGTACTCACCCAAATATCAGCCTTTGGGCCATCATACTGCTTGCCTTCAAAAAGTTCAGGGGCTGCATAGGGAGGACTGCCACACCACGTGGACAACTTCTTTCCAGGCTCAAAATGGTTGCTGAAGCCGAAATCTTCGCAGGGTGAAGGAACAGAATACAGGCTCAATCCTAGGTTGGTGCTGTCACACAGCATTGCAGCCTATTTGCTAATACCTGCCCAAGTTCAGTAGCTTAAAAAATACAGAAAACAAAAAATTGCTCGTCATTATAGAAAAAGAAAGATATTGATTTATATGTACCAGATTGAGAGAACTAAATGTCGATAAACCTTAATCCCACACTTACATACAGAGTACGATGCTGCAAGTGGAAACAATTGCAATCGGCAGTTTCTTTTATAATCGAAAGTCTGTCATTCAAACTTCTGGTGTGGTGGGAAGTACTCGTATGGGCCACTTAACTGAGAGGTAAATTTTGCTGCAAGCTAATATGCTTTCGAAGTACAATCCTAAAAAAGTGCCAATGTCGTGTTCGCACTAACAGTGTCGCGCCGTGTGGAAAACAAACTACCGATATGATAATTGCGGGATGGAATTGGTATGGGCTGCTCACGAAAGAGAAACTGTCCAGAAATTTACCACTCAGAAGCAAAACAAAAAGTTTCCATTAAGAAAAATAAAAGGAAGAGGGGCACTCACCTGCTATCTTGATGTTCATCTCACTGTCAAGCAGAAGGTTCTCGGCCTTGAGGTCCCTGTGAACCACGTGCCTCTCGTGGCAGTAGTGAACGGCACTCACAATCTGCATGAACTTCTGCCTCGCTATGTCTTCCGGCATGGGGCCCGAGGCTACCAGATGATCTGCCAGAGACAGCCACAGGCGTGAGCACCGAGCACGGGCGGAAGGCACACTGTTCAGTCGGACAGAAACACTCCCGCACTGCGGAAACAACGACAGAGGCCGGACAGACCTGTAACGGCGGGACATCATGACGCGAAAGAAAAGGGGGTCGCACATTCTGTTGAGTTCGGCAGGATTGGTGGGCAATTAATGGAGATGTGTAGCTTTTAGAAGTGGACTGGAGCAAGCAAAAAATGAAAGAGTCCATGTTTTTTTTTCGAAATTGACTACCATAATTTCCGGACTATACTCTGTAGTGCTTAAAAGTTAAAATTTCACGTCGTGCAGACCATCTACAGGTGCAATAAAAGGGTATGCCTTTTTTTCAACAAGACGTAACGAGATTTTGTGATTATAATGAGACGTGACGAGATTATGACAAGACATGGAAAATTCTGTAAATTACAGAGTATGTTAATGATAATTTTTGTATTGTACAAATTCCATTTTGCGTCAGTAAAGGAGGTGTTTTTCAACGTGCGCTGTGTACATTAATATTTTACGTGCTGGGTACACACCAGGTACCAACTACATACCGGGTGTGAACTATCTAAAAAAATATTTTTGATTTTTAGGCGAAATTTTCTTTCCTCTGCAGACTACACACTGGGTGAGGATTCTAAAACTTTGGTACAGAGTTTGCTAAGAAACACTTGAATTTCTAAAATAATGCCTAAAAAAGTATGACATGCCAACTATCCACACAGAAAGAATCCCGTTTCACTTTTTCAGGGTGTCAGATGGTTGTCCTAAACAGACCGACCCACAAACGGAGCAACAAACAATATGAAAAATGGGAAAGTACTACTGATTACAGACATTTGTCACTCCACTTCAAATATAAAATTACATAGAAAATTAACAATGTATATATATACAGGGTGGCTTTCTAAGGAAGAAAACATTCAAAACAAAATGGACACTGGAAGTAAAGAAATTATTCCTGCAGAAAAACAATATTGAACGTGACAGTCGTCAGGGCATACAGAGAAAACGAGTGGCTGAATTAACTAAAATTTGCCAACTAAGCTTTTAACTATTTTTAGCTGGCATGTTTCAATTGGAGATTTGCAGCCCATGATTCATATAGGCCAGGTGAGTTGTTAGATGTTAGAAATTAAAATCCTTCGAGCTACCCATGGTGAATTTCACTAGCCCCCGCAGCTGTGCGAACGTGTGACACTAAGACGACAAAGAGCACATAATGCCCAAAGGACACTGCACCCCAAGTTGGGCCAGTCTTTCACAATGTTTGTAAAGGTCACATTCGATAATGTTATCACGCAGAAATAATTTCTTCATTTCCAGTGTCCATTTTGTTTTTAATGTACCGTACTAGATAAAAAAAAAAAGAAAAGACAAAAAAAGAACCACTCTGTCTAAGGATCAAATGCCTGAATTGAAGAACCACTCACCAAAAATTTCTCCCCTGTCTGCATATTCTGTAACCAAGTAAATCATTTTGTCCGTTTCCATTACCTGCAACAAAAATGAAAAACGGTTGAAACAGCATATATGTTACAAAAACATTCTTATATATGAATCATATCCAAGCCAGGGCCAACAAAGAACACTTACTTCTAACCTCATGTATTTTTGGCCCCAAGCAAATGAAAACATGTTCCAGAGAACACTGAACGCTTCAAACACATTAGTACAAAGAGAGAGCGTCAGTCATCATCTCTATGCAAGCCACCCTCATGTGCAAATTACAGTGAATATAGACATTTTGTACAGGGGCGCCGCCATCTTGAATTGTAGTCACTACCAGTATGGGCGACGACAAAATAGTAAAACGTTTCAATCTCTAACCAGTAAAAAAATAGAGGGGAGCCAAAACGAGAATGTGTAACGGTTAGGCTTATATCCTAAATGTCTTCTATTGGCGTGGCGACGGCAAAGTTATGTTTTCGCCCATACTGGAAGTGACGACAATTCAAGATGGCGGCGTCCTTGCGGAAAAGGTCTATACCATCTAGAAGTGACAATGTGAATGAAACAGCCAGTTCAAATCCACAGCTGATGGAAGATTCAGTCCTCTGGCTCAAAATCAGCCAAGGAATTGCTTCTAGCTTTTACTCAAAAAGGCCAAAAATTTTGCATCTGGCCTTCACTATTGGGTCTAGCTTCTGAAGATAGGTATGTCATCATTCCGTGATATGTGTTTCATTCATGGGCTGTGGAAACAAGTGAATGGTTTATTGGGCAGGACTGGCACCTTTAACTATCGAAGCATGCATGAATTGGATTTGACATGTCTAGTCTCATTTTATTAGACATCTAGGGTCAATTAAATCTGTGACACCACATAATGTTGCAGCTTCTTGAATCTATAGTCCACTGAAGCAACGTAGAAACTACCATGCTGAACTAATTTCCTCCTTTTCTGCAGAGACAAAATTCTCAGGAGTCAGATAGCACTTTTAAGTACTTTTGTTGTTTACTTTTAACATGAAGCTTTCTTCAAATAGTGCTGGTAAAACACAGTGTAAATAAGAGTCGGGACATTGAAAATACAGCCATGACTTATTAACATAGACCCCAGCAATATGATACCCACTATTTGGGCACACCACTTGGGGGCTGACCATTCCCCGTTCAAATTCTGTCCACATCAATATAGAAATCCACAGCCCACGGTCAGCTATGGGAACAAATGTGACATGGTTTTTTTTCCAAAAGATCAACAAAAACATTAAAGGGGCGGTGCAATGATTTTAACATTGAACGAATGTGCAGCTTGTATTTTTTATATTGTTTACTTCGGCATAAGTAAGAGAAAAAGTGCCACCATACCCTGAAATACCTCTATTTCGTTGCGTAATCGTAAAATAAAAAACACTTTTTTTCCCAACCTGCGGCCACATGGTGGCCGCAAATGGAACCTGTGGTGTGACGTCATTCGGAGTGGTTTTTGTAAGTGATAGTGTTAGGCAATTGTAAGCTTGATTTAAGGTTAAGTTTAAAAAATCTTGTTGTTTAGGCATGCAGAAACGCTTCAAAAGCCTAATATTGCCGCTAAAAGGGTATGAATTATTTGTGGCGCCATCTACTGCAAGTCAACAAAACCTGCCGTCGCCGTCATCCGTCGACGCCCGAGGCGCCTACGGCGGCTACACGAGCAACCCGGACGTTTTGTCTTTCCCTCGCTCGACGGAGTGCGTTGGTCGTGGTCCGTAGTATCGTGGTATTGTTATTGTTCCTGGTGTCTCGACCTCGACTTCGACTTTGACTGCCCGCCGCATCGCAAGCATCTTGCGCTCGACGTCGCTCAGGCCGTCCGCCCATGCCGCCATGTTGGTCGGGAATCGGCGGGAGAGCGGGAGAGCGGCGAGCCTGGCGAGCCGGCGAGCGCTGGGGAAACGGGAGCCAGAAGAACCCAACCGGAAACCAACGCCACTCCGAATGAAGTCGCAGGCGAAGCTGGTGCCGCTTCAATGTTGAGTTGAGGGGTGCCAGAGATACCAATTTTCTTTTACTTTTTTTAATGAAAACTAGGGCAAGCAGGAAAGAATAGTTTTCGGTCCTTTGTTTTATATGCGGCCGGGATCAATTCCCGCAATTAATTAGCCAAAGTCCGCAGATTGTTGCACCGTCCCTTTAAAAAAAAAGAATTGATGAAGTCATTGGGGCAGAGAGTATATCCCCCGACCTATGCCATATTGTCTTCAAAGTGCACCCTCAGCAAAAGAGAAGACACGGGCACAAAACAGTGGTTTGAATTTTTGGGGCTTTCAGGCCAAAGGGGTCAGTTGCCACTTTCTCCCCAAAAAGGGCAATGCAGAACACTTCCGTGGTCATTTAGAAGTAGTAAAGGCATAACGTAAGAATGGTCAGAGACCATGACAAGCAAAAAGTTAAGCTGACAGATTTCCATTTAACTGAAAATGAAATATATATATGTAGGTTTCAAGTGGTCCACGTGTATGTAAATCTCATAATTTTTCAGCAAAATAAACAGTGGATTTTGTCGAAACACTTGTCTATTATTTGTGCTTTTTACTTTGATTAGTGTGATTTGGACAAATCGCACTAAAGATGATTTTTCTGGGGAACAAAGGAATATACTAGTCTGAAGAAAAGCAAAAGCAGGCCTTTTATAAAAGAAAAAAAAAAGTGCTAGAAATTAAGCTATGAGGGTTGTGGAACAAAATGAATTAGAAGTGTATAATAGGGAAGATGCTCTTACATGAATGTTCCATGTAGGGAAAACTGTGCGCTATGTTAGCTAAAAATGATACTAAACATATTGCCTGCAAAATCAACTGCCTCTAAACATACAATTTGGCACACTTTCATTTATAATTCACCTGATTTTTAGCAGCTCAGCATAGAGGCTAACACTAGAGATCCAGTAAGAGCTATAAAGATCTTTCTGACTTTAAAAGGAGCATTTTGACAACTGGCGAGAAATCTGGCGGCTGTGATTGGCCAACGCCGCACTTGACCTTGGCGCCTGACAATCAGAGCCGCCGGAATTCTCGCCGACTTCTTTGCCAATTGTCCAGATTAGGGCCCCTGCTTCCCAATACTCTTTTTGCTGTAGGGCACCTACAAACACATTGAACTAAGTCACTTTAAGGCTAACAATGCTCAAGATGACCAATCACCAACCGAAGTTGAATCCCACAAGCCAAATGTCTTTTGCAGTATGCACTCAAGTGAGCATTAAGAAGGATTTCAAAATTAAAGAGTTCCAAAAAAAATCAACCAAAGCACCAAAGGAAAGTATTCTTTTAGAACTTAGCGACAAAAATCAATTGTGAAACATATCCACTAAAACTAAAAGAAAAAGAACAGTACTGATAACACTAACCTTAAGTACCATTAGAGGCTCAGAGCCCATAAAAAGATTCCATGTATTGTTAGATGAGTGAGACAGTCAGTCTTACTGCCAGGGTGACTCTCGAAGGAAAGGAAACAGTGCGGGGGGTGCACGGACTTGGTGGATATTCAAAGCAAAAGCAGACGAGGGAGGACATACAAGTGTTGAATAAAGAATGAGTAAAAAGAGCTTTGAAATGTAATTTAAATGTGATCTTAACAATACAGACTAAATTATAAAGTATGTATATATATCTATATATAATTGTACCTTACAATTGCATACAGAAAACAAAGTGGGAACAACTTTCCACCCATGTAAGAAATATTGACAAACCTGATATAGCCTAATGATATGAGGATGATGTAGGAGCTTCATGATTTGAACTTCCCTGAAGATCTTTTTCAAGTTTTCTTCATCCAGGTGTGTCTTGTCTATGATCTTGATGGCTACCTGCACACAAAAAAGAACAAAACAATTGTCAGTGAAGATTATACATTTTTAATTGAACATAAAACGTCAAGCAAAAATTTATGGAGTACTGTCTGTAAAGTTTATTTTGAGCTCAGTCCGATTCTACATGCAGATCACAGCATCTCACATGTAACAGCAGACTTCAGTACAATGGAGGGCAAAAAGTGATAGCCAGGATGCAAAGTATGAAGTTATAAGGTTAGGGTAAAACAAATATTGATTTGATTTCTTGACATTTTGGGATAATGTTCAATGTTATTCAAACAACTTAGTTGTGAAACTCTTCTCTGAAAAGGGATATCCTGTGTGTGTAAATTAATTTGACACACGAAGCAGCTGTGGCAAGTATAAATTAATTGCCAAAGCCCAGTAGGTTAACCTTGTCAGTTGCCCCCCCTCAATGCTTTTCTAATAACGAATTCCACGGGACATTTTGGAGTGCGCCGGTATCGACTTTTCGGAAGTGCGCCTATTTCACTGGACGATCGGGATCGAGACAGACGTGTTCTACTCATTATTTTGGGTCAACTCCCACTCCAGATCCCGATCCGGATTTGAAAAAAGTCGCTCCGCCAATTTCGGCGGACTCGACCGGGTGCCAGCCTTGTCGGCAACTGGACAGGAGCTCACCGGACAAAAGCTCACCTGTTTTTTCAGACCCGGACAAAAGCTCACCTAATTTGTTTTGGCTACCAGGACGAAACACGGGCTGGGATAAAGTGTGGACGTGATGGACATTGCACCATTTTTAGGAGAACTGGTACCCCATCCCATGCAAAGTCGAAAGATAAGCCGTTAGAGGCGGAGAAGCAACGATTTAAGAAAAAAATTTATGTCACCGAAATTGAGTGGAGCTGATAAGATCAAGCTTGATTGACTCAAGGTACGCAGGAGCATCCTTGTGCCAGGCCGAGGAAACTTCGTAAAGCCATGTTTTTAACCTGAAGAGCGACCGAAGAAGCGAAGTCACTCTTCGGTGACCTCACTTTTTCATTGTGCTTGTGTAACGCTCTTCCTTACTAATGCATCCGTTTTTTGGGGGTTCAGGTTACTATTTGAAGTGAATGGCTAAAAAAATTATATTGTTTCCTTCATTGTGCATCGTGAACGTAATTGAAATCAAGGATTATCTAAGGTGATGTGAAAGGGAAACTGAAGCAAAACTATAATGTACAAACCATTGAGTTGCAAATGTTTAAAAATATTTTGAAGGAACGGGGTAGGGCTCTTTGAACAAGTACAAGACAGATGACCACTTTAGACAGCTGCGCGGGATTTTAGATAGGCTGGCGTTGCTTTCACCACAGCTTGTGTTCGAAGGACTAACCTACATCTGGGAGAAGTATACCGGTGACATCGGCAACCTGCTGTACTACTTGATTGCACGTATGACAACGGCCCCTTCCGTGCCCCTTCTACGGCGGCACCCAGAGCAAATTCTTTCCTTTGCCAGACTGTGCACCGACGACGACCGGAGTTTTTCTCCAGAACCGTGGAATATGTACGACGCCACTCTTCAGGGTAAAGGCTGGACGTACACCTTCCAAGGATGGAACGCAGGGCTCCAGAAGCTCGTCGGCCACGCCCATCCAAGCGTCTGGAAGCTGATTGAATGCCTACAGCAAGATCAGGCGCTCGTTGCCGCGGCATTGACACAAGCCCGGAGAGGTGAGCCACCAGTGAATCGGGTGCGAAAAACCACCCTGCGCCTGCCGAATCGTCTCAAAAATATTTGTGAGAGGTTCCAGGTACACCCAGATCTACCAAGACAGCTGGGGGTAGCAGGGAACTGCATTCGCTCCTTACCAATCGATAAATAAACTTGTTTCCATTCTAGTCAACAAACCATGCGCCAGACAGATTTAATGTACTCCTAGCATTTTCGTGTCGCATATATGCCCCTAAGTTGTCCGCACTCGTGACCAATATGCAATTTTCTCCTGGTGAGCTTTTGTCTGGGTCTGAAAAAATGGTTGAGCTTTTGTCCGGTGAGCTTCTGTCCAGTGAGCTTTCTCGCCGTGCATCTCACTTCAAAAGAATTCATAATGGCCGCTCGCGAACTGTCGCCCACTTTTACTACTCCAGCTGCTTGATGACATTTTGCCGCCCAGTTGCTGGAGCAGCTCCTTCAGCAGCAGAGGCTCTAGTAGCAGCGACGACGCGGTTCGCTTGTATGTCCAGCATGAATTCCACTGCTTCCTCGGACCTCCGCAGAAGAGGCCGATAATTGAGACGTACTTGGACACCGTTCACGAGTATTCCGACGAAGAGGCAGGTGGGCTACGGTGATGCACATCTTTTATCGACAAGTATCTTTAATCTCATGATTAACTTCGCTCGTGTGTAGAACACGTGCCGTTAGTGCCGC